TGCCTGGAGTGGTGCACCTTGGCATAGAGGTAGAGGAAGAGAGCTACGAGTTTCCTCTATATTTACTTTTATTTTTTATGTTTTTAAATATCTTTCTTGATTTCTGAGAGAGGAAGAGGGAGAGATAGAAACATCAGTGATGAGAGAGAGCCATTGATCAGCTGCCTCCTGCACGCCTCCTGCTGGGGGTTGAGCTCACAACCCTGGCATGTGCCCTGACCAGGAATCGAACCCCGATCTCCTGGATCATAGGTTGATGCTCAACCGCTGAGCCACACCGGCTGGGCAAGCGCTTCCTCTATAAATCAGTCCCTGAAGGCGGGCTCATTAGCACATCGGTATATTATCAGGAACCCCGGCCAAGCTCTGCTATTTGATAGCTTTGGGGCCTTGAAAACCTGAGTTTCCTCACCCATTCATTGCAGATGACACCGCTTAACTTACAGGGTGGAATGATGGATGGAAATCATGTAGATGCTCCATAAATGTAGATAGTGATAGTGAGGAGGGGCTAAGACAATGCTATAATCATCTGGGCCTTTGCTCCACTCATTCCATGTATATTGAGTGCCTATCCACACCCTGTTCCCAGCGCCGTTGTTTATAATATTCTTTTTATTTAGAAGAGCCTTCCTTTGCTCTTTATTTTTTGCCAATGAACACACTTCTCTTTAAGACCCAGCACAAATGTCCTAATATGTTTCATATTTCCCTGGTCACTGAAGTCTCCCCTCACCCGGGCTCCCACTGCATTAGGCATAACCCTCCTTCCCAGTGTTGTCGCATCCACCAGACCCTAAGCCCACTGAAGGCCAGGACCTTGACTTTATTCATTACTCATGAGAGCTGATGGCCTGAGCCTAAGATGCTGAGTGTTAGGGAAGAATTCGGCCCAATATTTCCTCTTCTTTAAGAAAAAGGGAATCCCGTGCTACTCTAAGACGGAAGAAATTACCCACTCAAGGGGCAAAACAAATAGAAATAATTAAGCGAGATGCTCACAAACTCGAATTAAAAGTGCATTTTAAAATAGCTTTTTAATCGAGAGGGTTGTAATTGCTTTATTAATCTTAAACAAGGTAAACGGGGGACATCAGAGAAGTAAAACAAAATAATTCTGGACGTTGTTTGGAAGTGACAGTGAACTTGGGAGCGCCATAGTGGACGAGCCTCCATGACCCCACTGCCGAGTGAAGGCACGTCCAGGCCCAGGAGGGCAGGGGCTGTGGGCAGACACTGGTGTGAACCTGCAGAACGAACATGTTTATTCTTAGAATCCAGAGGAATTGCAGAGCTCAGTAAACTTGATCAATGATCATTTCATCATTACCCCACTAAACTGAGCTCCTCAGGAGAGGATGCCTAAGTTTTTTTGGGAACGGAGGTTGGACCTGGCTAGCTCATGTTTCTGTTTGAAAATGGTGACTTTAATCTCCTGGAATTACCAGCATGGGAGAAGCTCCACAGCAAGGGTCACTCCTGTGCTCTATGCCTTTTTCTCAGCGTAACGAAATCCAAAAAGACCTATTTCTTCGGTCTGATTGCACTTATCAAAGATATATGTGATTGAATCGGGTGAACCAGTAAGAGGGAGGTTCTTTTAAGAAAGAAATGAAATCCATCCTTGCAGTGGGCCCTATAAAATCTGTGCGTGTGCAGCGTCGTTACTGATCCAGCTGGTTTCCAGATTCAGATTCTCAGTATGTAGAAGGATCCGTAGGACTTCCCTGAACACTTAACCTCAGAAGGTTCTGCTCCTCTTCGGGCTAGAAACAGCAGGCCCTGCTTGTATTGTGGAAATTTGATAGGTTTAGAGGATTAATCCTGTGAGAGATTATTCTATTAGACTGCTTCTGTTAACTAGCTCTGTGTCTCAGTGTTAGACTCTAATCCAAGGATGCATTTTAAGTTTCTTTCTCGGGGGCACATCTGCAAATTTAAGCAATAGATTGACAGCATATACTCGATGGCTGACTGGGGCCACCTCTATGTTTAAATCATACTTAAACAGAATGGGCAAATAATCTTTGAGAAACATGCACTTTCTCTGGTGTAGGGCAATCCAGTTCTGAATCGCTACGCGGCCTTTAAGGGCTTGCCCAGATTTTCCCCTTCGTAAATGGGGCACCTGTTCTTTTCTCTCTCCCTTCTGTTGACACCATTGTTTCGTAGAC